ATAAGTCAATCTAAAGTTCAGATCGTCTCGGCCCTTCTCTCAGTCGACTCTGTGCATTAGTCATATGCTGATGTGTCTACCCGATACGAAGTCCATGGTACAATGGACTAAACCACATTCGGTCTCGGCATTCGAACATCATAAAAGAACAGCCTCCTTGTGGACCTATTTTCTGGCATCCAATGGGTGATCCTCGTTGTACCCGGTTCGCATGTCGCGTCTTTTCAGTCCTGGAACTCCAACAGACCAGAGGAATGCTGGTGATTTTGTCTTGCTTCATGGAAGGTGAGCCATTCCTTCGCAAACGGCCAGATTGTTAGTCCAAGTGTGCGTGCAAGGAGAAGGAGAGGCAAAACCCCGGGCATACCGAGCCCACAGATTAACATTATCGTATCAGCTACGAGAAGCTTTGATCCCGAGTCACAACTAAGCCAAGTAAAGGGCCACGAGCTAAGAAATACCGACCGATACTCTCCTAAGTGATCCTACTCCGCGTTGCTGAGCCGGTCGAGGTGTTCAAGCCGGTGGAGTCTAACAAGCGGGAAACGAACCAGCGAAAGCGAAACAAGTCACTAGACTTGCGCTGATACTGCCTCTCTCCAATGAGAGATGCGCCGAGGTTGAGAATATAAATTGTCCTGAGATAGATCCACTCTCGGTCTCGACGTCAATCTCGTACGTAAGAAACTGGAAGGGTTGTCTCACACTGCAGTACTCGACATGGTGATTAATATTTCGCTTGAAATTATCATCTGACGGGAATATAGTGTCCGGGACAGCAAAAGAAACAGTGATGCTCCCTGATTTTGTTCGAGCCCAGAGGTGGGCTGAGTTGCCCGAGTTCTGAGCATCGGCCCTCTGTGGTATGACTATCACTCCAATTTTACCAGAGGTGGTTGACAATGATAACAGATCAAACAAGAGGGTATCTCCCCACATTAGACTCAAAGTCTTTCTTCTCGAGTGAGTGGGGGAATCCCTTTGGTTTCTCCAGATTGCCCCATAAACCGGTGTAGTATTCGGTGCCTAGTCAAAATCTGTACACTGCAGTTTATGTTTTGTCATTTATTGAGGTCTCCATCACTGTTAGGAGGAAAGCATAGATCACTCTTTTCAACATCCACTGTAGCGTTTTTTGATGAAAGATTTATATACTCCAGTGGGCTTTGAGGTCCTGTCGGATGAGGAGCTTCAGACTGGTTATCCTTCTGATGGAAAATGTTGCTGGTTCGTGCTTGTAAAGATCGTCTTGTTAGCAGGTGCGGCAATCGTGCTCTTCCGCCCTGTATCTCAATCTATCTGTCATTCAAAGTCACAAGTGTAGACAGGATATTGAATTTGTATCGATCTTACAGTTAAAGTTATCAAGTGAGGCAGCCCACCATACACATGACGGCTTGCAATTGATGACGTCATGAAGCTTACTGATAATCCCTTTCTCATGAACTGCGAAAAAACCGATGCTACCCACAAACATACGGTTGATTATATAGCGAGATTGCCCCTTATTTCTAGGATCCTGAATTCTAATGAAAGGCAATGAAAAGGCAAAAAAATACAATATTTCAATACAACGCTCTATCTTGAAGGCATTTCTTGGGGGCAATTACAACACCTGGCCCGCGGATGTCTGGTGGATGCGGCGTTCATCATTCGTCTGAACAATTTGGTTTAGTATGCAGTAGTCATGTTGGACGAGGGTTGAGATCTCCGATGGATAGAGAAAAAGTAAAAATCTCTCCAGTAATTACGAAAAGACCATGATGAGATAAGAGGGTACAGCTAGAACAATAGTTTTTTTGCATGCAGGAAGGTTGAATGCTAACAAAAATGTTAGCAAGGAGGGATGCACAAGTGTGGTGTCGGATCAAAGGAATGATGAGAATGTGAAAGTTAAAGAAGTTGGAAAGTTTCTGTACCAGATCAAATGGAAACGTTAGAAATACGGTGGATCTACATGTGGATCGTTGGGTATTTACCCAGAATATCTTACGACATCAATATCAGACACCTCACACCAAAGCGCATATTACTCTTTGTCAGCATGTCCTACGAGATTGCCAATTTCCTAGCTTTAGTTAGTGAGAGAGTTCGATACCACCATCTGAAAACCCATACAAACTGGTCACTGATTTCTGTCAGGAAATATAGAGGGTAGAAGGGAATAATAGGCTGTGGGGGATAGATATGATGATGGCGAAGGCACGGGATGATCCGTGGTGCGAGTAGCGATTGAATCGTATGTATGAAAACGTACCAGTCATGATTGCACAGAATACATTAGCAAAAGTTAATACCTGCTACTAAACTCAGGGGTGAAGTGGATTAGAACCAGAATAATCAATTGGGCGAATAAAGAACCTTTGCGAGCTCTGATCACGGCATTTGGGGAGGGAAAAGAATGCTTCGTTGTACCAGACAATTTTAAACCCTGCAAATGATCATGTCGATGTCCAACAATGGCCTGCGAGTCGATTGCAACCAAGATTGCATGAATGGCGTGGAGAAATGCCATAGTTGCTTCGCGGGCTCTAAACGGTCCGGGTCATCCACCTGCTTTAAGCGGCAGAGATATTCTTGACGAGCAAATGACCAAGGTTTTTCGAATCTTGTTACCCAATATTCTCGTAACCCGTGTGAGCGGATGCAGTGATCAACTTGGCAAGGAATTTTCATATTGCTGAGCTTTTGCGATTATGAAACTTTTCGCGGTCTCTGGGCGGAACAAGGGTTGTCCATTGAAACTGCATATTTAGAACCATGGCTAATCTGGAAAATATGAGGCTGTCGAATAGTAATGGCTCCTTGAACCACATTTAAAAAATCTATGATGCAATAGCCTCGAGGTAAACAATATATAAATCTGGACAAGGAATCTAACCTTGGCGATATTTACCACCCTTAGTTTTACAAGTATCTTCTTGCAGAAATGCCATCGACGCCAGTGTCATGTTTATACTGCGATCGGCCAACGTCGCAAGGCTATTTCTGCTCTGATATATGCCGTTATTTTTTGCTGCATCAATCTTTAGCTACTTCAGCACCAGCAACCACCAATGGATATGGAATTTGTTTAAGCCCAAGTCCATCCACCCTGGTTAAGGAGCCGACCCGTGGCAGACCAAAATATCGGACAGGATTGTCGTCAAACACATTGGAATGGTGTAAAACAAGCGAAGAATCCCCATTGAGGGACATGTCGGAAGAGCGTGGAAGTACTCTCAAAGATTACGAGGATTCGTTTGATCAACTACGGCTCATGAAAAGAAATTCACTTCAGTGAATTATTGTATCGAGACTTTTCAATAAACCATGTAGGTACTGATAAATCACTCCAAATTATAAGCAGGCTTCGTTTACGCAGTAATCCAAATACTTATAATGACCGGAATTAGATGAACCTTCAAAACAAGGGAATGGTTCCCTGGGAAAAAAGCACGTTGCCAATCGAAATGCTTATTGACTTAAACAAGCCTTTATTGTAATTTAACGGTATGAGCGAGTTCCCAAGAAATTACCCCAAGTTACGAATTTTGATAGAATACCGAAAATATAGGAATCTGCATATTCTCCAACTGTCTTTGCCTTTCACTTGGACCGAACTTGCCATCAAAATATTGATCATACGTGGACCTGTCTCACATGTAGGAAGGGTCGTGTCATCAATAAATCAGTGCGAAACTTTTGGGGTGTTCGCTTTCTGCGTGGAATAAATACATGATGCAGGTAGATTCCTTTACTTTGTATATATATATAATCTGATGTCTCCCTCTGCGAAAACAATCAATCAATGCCTCTGAATTACAGCACCTAGTGATGTGATACATAGACAGAATTACTGCAGGGGCCGTCGAAAATACCCGTGTCTCCATAAAAGCATAGACTCATGTTCATATTGATCCTTTCTGCTTGACTTTGACATCACAAAGCTGACAACGGATTATATATCACTATGAAACACTCCGCAAGACATTACAAAGTTACACAGAGACGCCAGCAAAAACGTCCATCGTTCGATTGTCATCTCATAAATAATCAACTTCTGTCTAGCATTTCGCTTTTATCTCACGACGGACACCGAGCGATCTCCTGATCGTTGACCCAACAACGCTAAGCCAATTTTGCAGGTCCTAAGGCCATTTGTCTTCCTTTGCCGTTGAATCTCTCGGATTTCAAAAGTCACAGACGGTTCTTCACTTCCGACTCTACTTTCGCTGCCCATTGTCGAGTCGTTCGGCGATCATACTTTGGCCATAAATTTGGTAAACATTGTACATTCTGCGCACGGTATTGTCGAATTTCATCTAGAAAGGGTCGAGCGCTGTAAACCGAGTCAAAAGCTCGTCTCAACTTCGAGAACGCTTTCTCCATCGTTTTATCACACTTCACTACGAATGTTGCAAAGGATTGCATTATTTTTGGCATGTTCATATATCCCTTTTACCATTGAGGCAACTTGAATGATAGAGCCATCTCTAATAAGAGCCTGGCTTCGGTGTATATACATGCCTAGTGAAAACAAAAGACAAAGGCTCGCGGGTGGACTAGCCCTCCAACGAGCGGATTTGTGGCAGTCATCGGCTAATAATGTCGTTCGAACGTGGAATTCAAGCCTTGCCTTTGCCCTCGCTAGTGAGGAGAAATACAGGGGCGCAATGGGATTTTCCAATCGGTCGCACGCAGGTAGGTCGTTGATTGTAGCGGAATAAGGTGTAGACATGACCTTTTGGCTGACTATCGTCACCCTTGGTCGGTGGCTCTACTTGCATGCCTTAAACTGTCTGTCACTTCCCATACCACCGCTCCAATTTCGCTAGGCAGAAACTGCCACCGAGCAAAACACTGGATAGTTATGCGAACGTAGACCCCTTGGTGCGGTCAACAAATTAGTAATACGGATAAACTTTAACCCACTTCTGCGAGCGACGAACGCAATTTGCATATTGTCCTTTTCTTTCTCTTTGGGTGCAAGGTATGCTTAAGCCTGTGGTCCTGAAATGATGACGACGCCTTCCAACGAGGAGTCCGGCGATGGAAGGTGCCAAACTATTGACAACATAGTAAACAACTTTATTTCTGAACATCATGATAAAAGTCTACGACCTCTCAGGCTAGCCAATATCTCCATTTCCGAATTTTCGACCGAATTGTCAAATCATTTGTCAGTACTAAACGAAGGTGGCAGTATCGCTTTGGGCCGTGGAGAGGAGTTGACCAGCAAGAGCCTGAGCCTGAGCCTACAGAGCCTTTTCTCGATTACTACACCGCCCGTGAAGGAAGGACCACCTTTGACCTGGACGAGGCTTGTTCTGTTTGCAGGTCCCCAGTTCGAGGGCCCAGCGGAGTTTGAGATTGGGAATTCTAGCGTCGAGCTGTCAGAAACCGATCTCAAACTCTTACGGTCTGGTAGGCCTTGGCGATTTCTCTTCCCTTGGCCAGATAAAGATGATTGCAAGAAGGAGCTTCAATCAAACAACACGGTATTGCAGGAGCTGATTGATGCTCAGAAAACAATAGGCGAAGGTGAGTGCCTGAAAAATCCGTCCTGCGACGTTGTAGCGGAAGCTAAGGCCGATCAATGCAGTCTTGGAACAAATTTCGCTTGTTAGGCGACATCTCCGGAATCACCGAGATCTGATATCTCGACTTTCTGAAGATAAGCACCACGCCAACCCTCGAGGAGAAGCTCTACCCCTTGACGATGCTTCGTTCTCTTTTTCAAATGGAGGATCTTTTGATCCCGTTGCCTCGGCAGAATACGAAAGCTCAGGTTACCGATATTCACCCTACACCCCTACGGCCATCGGGTATGCTAGCAATGACCGATCTAGTCAGCCAGTTGATCAGGACCTGAATGATCCGGCTCTATCGGAAGGTGCTTTCGCGGGGAATAGCACGCAACTAGATGGCTCAGGGCCCGAGAAAGATGCAAGACCAGGATTCAGGCTACACACATCCGACTTCATTCAGTGTCTGAGCGAGTAAGTGAAGCATCCATTAAAACATTAATACTGTTACCTTCTGATTAACACCTGAAAGAATCCTTGATGATCCAAAGAATGGGGACGTAATGCGCTGGTCAGAAAATGGGCAATCTGTCTACGTCGCCCCAGAAAGCAAACTTCCTGCGCATATACTTACAAAGATGTCCACTAAGAGCCACCAATCGCTCGTTCGGCGGCTTTATTACTTTGGATTTCATAAAACCGGGGGTGTCTTCCATCATGAATCCTTTAGTCGCGGTCAGCCCAGCTCCATACGACCGACTCGGGAACTGAGCCACAGCCCTTCGCTCCCAACGCCTCTACGCAATAGCGCTTCCCAACGCGGGCCTCGGTACAAAACGATCAAAAGAAAGCGCGCAAGGGAAAGTGTTTGAGATATGCCAAAACTCAAAACTTCAAAGCCAACGAGCAAGTGATCAAAATGTGCGTCGTGCATTACCTCAAGTTAACAGCCATTTGAGGTGCATTCTATAGCCCGATCCGCTTACCTTTGCGTGCTAAAAATTAAAATTAAAATACCGATCTCCTAAATGTCGTAGTTCAATCGCCGTTCCAGCTAGTGGTACGATTGGGGAACCCACGCATCCATTGCTGCCACTGCTAGCGTTAACGACTGGGAATGCAAGCAACTATGATAGCATGCGGAAAAGCATTCATCCAGTCCTTGGTGCTCTTGCACTTCAACAACTTGCATTTAATTGCCGTGAGTGTCTTCAACATCCAGCCTAGTAGGGCTCCCTGTTACATCTGGGTAAAGCTTTCGGTAGTTGATTGGAAGTGATATATGTGAGCTCTAGTGCGTCAGTGTCACTGTTCTTATTCGTGGGTTATTATCGAGTTTGCTGCAGATACCGATACAGTCACAGTAAATGGAGAGGCATGTCTTTATGTTCTGATGTGTCCTTTTTAGTTTTTGTTTACTGTTTTTACAGCGCTCGGTTATCTTGGAAGATTCATTAAAGCCATCGGCAGGGAGGAGTTCAAAAGACTGACCAGCGACGTGGAAGCTTACATTCTATTGAATGGATGCTTGTTGAGGTTACTATCAAAAGCGAAAACCCCGTCTATTTAAACGTCCATCGCCAGTCCTGCCAGAGGCTTTGACCACCGCGATACTCAACACCCTCCATTGAAGAAGATCCGGTCGTTTCTTGCGAGCTGAAGTGAAGTTCGTTGTTCAATGGCTGGCCCGCAGACCGTACTAATTCGGCCGATTCGGAACCTTTGTTTGGGAGCAATGTGTGATGGACGGCAACATGGGATTTGCAACGATATCATCAAGGTCACGTGCACTGAATTTTGATGGTCGTTATGGCCTAGACTTGATGCATGAATGGAATAAATGAATGCGAATATGAATATGCCCTATATTCGCATTCATATCTTTCATAACTGTCAGGATGAATTCCTGGCATTCTCCACTATTATGGATAAGTCAGTATTGTCCATTAGTCATGCATCGTACACGTATAAATAGCTGGTGTAGCTACATAATAACAAGACAGAGTTCCCATGTTTCTCGCTGATTGGCCAGCACGTCTGTATTCCTGACAAACAGCGGGATCATGAAAAAAATGCATTGTGCCGATCAATTACGTCAGGGAACGTCAGACGTTATTTAGATTCAGTTACACAACCAACGCTCCAATGTCATCTCATACTCTGGATTGGTTTTGAAATGCGAAACAATGCAAGAATCTATGCCCCTATACGTTTACAAAATTTTACCGTCTGCTTGTCCTGTCCGAGAACCACTTCCCCACCGCCTTCCAGTCAGTCTTACCGATCAATCTTCAGGGTTCATACATCTCTTAACGGCGCTGCAAGTACCAGAAGCCCTTAAACGTATATATAAAAGCGAGCCATTGGTATACGTCTTGCGAATCCCGTACCATAAGGTTTTACAAGACATTTGCTGGGAAATAGCAGACGGTGCGTTGAGCGAGGCTCTGTCGGAAGAAGAATTGTGTCCAGTAAGAACCTATCAACGTTTGCAACCTTTTTGATGCGTTTCTTTGTCCTCATTGCTTTCAGGCAACGTACAAGCTGACATATAGAGTAGCATCTGTATAATGGGCTCAATCTGGGTCGGGACGACGTTGAAAGCATCGCCGTGTGGATAAACGAGCATGGGTGGGAAAAGGTTCTTTTGCAAGCTGGCCCATGGCTCTTGCATTGAGAATGGCGTCTGTTACATATATTATTTGTGCACTTATGTGAATCCCATCCTATTTGATTGCTATCCGGAAGACTCAAATCTATCAAGAAACAAATCTCTCATCTTTCTCATTATTTCCAGAAACTGATTTAGTGTCCCCAAATGAAAGGCCTTACCCTGATGGATGATAATACGAGTGTGGTTTGTTTCCCGATCGTGAAACGGTTATTGAACAGCAGAGACTAAAAAATTCACTGTGTTCCTATTGTATATGCATTTGACGAATACGATTAGTATCGACTTCCTTTCGCATACGGCAACGGGGCTTATCAACAACTTGTTTGTAGGGATAGTCGATAGTAACCTCGACTGTTCCTTTCGATATTGCGCCCACAATACACACCAAATACTTCACTGAGTGTGGAAATACGAGAGATAAAGAGACATTCATTGGCGACCTCACCCAGTCAAGAGGGATCAGGAACGTGTAAAGTTTGGCGGTGACTGCTCACCTGTCGCTGCGGTCTTAGACCGTAGCGTCAGATAGAGCCCAAATGACCCGGGCCAAACTAGGATGGTGGAGGAAGCAGTAGAGACAGTGGAGCCGGCGGGCCTTCCTGGAACTGGTGATTGAGCTTGTACAAGACAGACGTGTTCGTCATGAAATGCACCCTGAATGCCCTTGAGGTCCATCTCTCGAGCATCTGGATCTGATCGTCGAGGATCCCACTATCATGCGCATGTTGAGCCGCACCTTTCCAAAAGCTGTGGCCTGAGTAGCCGTCCGCGTGTATCCCAAGCGCTCTTAGCTTAGTCGATAGGGTAGAGAGGAAGTTGTTGCGATTGAATGGTCTTCTGTGGAAGGAGAACAACGGGACATCGGACGCTTTGGGTAGCACAGAAGTGCATCAACTGGGCAAGCTCCGTCTCCTGTTTTCGCAAGGATGATCTATGCTCCTTCGTGGCAGCGGTCCATCTTGCTCCGCTTGAGTGTGAGTTGCACGTGGTCGAACGAGGACGAGAATCTGACGCCGGAGCGCGTTAGCTTTGTGGCTAAGAAGATAGGACGTGTGCCGTGGTCTTCTGTCTTGTTGGTAAATTCTCCGAAGCGAAGGAACCCAGCAAATGCTACCCGGCAAGCGGTTGCGAAGTTCAAGTCGTCTAGAAGGGTTGCAGTCATCTCTAAGGACTGTAACGGGAGTGTGGCTAGGCCTGCGGATAGTTTCGTAATGGTGTCACGCGAAATCGGTTCTCTGGCCCGAACTTTAGTGATTGGGTTGAGTCTTCTCGCGACGTCTATGAGGCGTCGAACGTGCTTGTTATCGAAGAGTTTATCCTCAAGTTGTCAATATTGTAAGCTCGGAGGGCGGCTAGGTCGGTGAGTGCGGTATCGGGCTAGACGGCCTTTTGGTTTGAATTCCCAAGGAATCGTGAAGTTAGCCAGGAGGTCAACGACCGTGTTGAGACTGGCCAAGCCAAGAAATTTTGTAGCGGACAGTGCTTTTCGTAATTGCGTTGAACCGAGTGGTAGACGGAACGCGTGTTAGCGCTGAGGCCGCTCCAGAGCAGTTTTAGGTGGCCTGCATTGAGCTGAGGAGCTCGTGAAGAGAACCACGCGGGCGGTTCAACACCGAGAGGCCCTGCCAGTGGGGACAAATGTTAGCAACCTCTTGACAGTTATTACGGGAGAGGGCATCTGCTAGTGTGTTTTCCCCGGAAGGGAGCCAATGTGGCACGATTTGGATGTCTCTCGCCGCCGCTAGGATATGTAGGCTTTTCAGAGGTACGTTAGGCGGACCATGAAGGAAGCCTTTACTCAGTGCTGTGTAGGCTGTGGAGCTATCCGTGTGGACAACGAGAGTATGATGAAGCCAACGGTGGCTGAAGAGTAGGAAGCCTTGTAGAATGGCGTCTACTTCGGTGGTATTGATGTGCGCGTGTGCGACTTGAGCAAGGGCCAGTGAGGCAGCATTGCTTGGATGAAGCTGGTGACAATGGGCCAGCCAGCAGTCTGATATAGACTTGGATGAGAAGAAGAAGAGCCCCTGGCCTGTGTTGGCGGCATCTGTGTAGAGGTGCGTGATAGAGCGGCGGCTTGGGTCAATGAAGAGTACACCGTTGAAAAGAGACAAGGAGTCCCTCCACCATTCCAAATCATCACGTACCTCGTGGGAGATACGGCGGCGCGCGCTCCTCCCATGTGGGAAGGCGGCTTAGAAGGTGTATAGAGACTGTAGCCTTGTCCTCCCAAGCCGGACAACTCTTGAACAGAAGGCTAATGAGCCTGTGAGACGCTCTGTTTGCTTGAGGGAGAGACTCGCTGCACTCAGGGCAGCTGCGGCGTCCAATGTGGCGCGGCACAACTTGTCAGGCGACAGGCGAGCTTCCATTGCAATAGAGTCGATCTGGACACCTGAGACTGTAACACACGTCCCTTGCTGGTCCTTTTTGGTATTGCGGGGGATGCGCAGGTAGTCGGTGACTCCGTTGTAAACCCTATCAAAGGGACCCGTAGGGTCAGACACTGAGAGAGACTTAAAAGTTGCAACGAAGTCGTCTAGGTAACGATTGATACAGAATGCAGGGAGGAGGCATTAGAGTATCCAATGGAGAGCCTCGGCGAAAAGGTTGAAAAGACATGGGGCCGTAGCGAGGCCAAAGGGGAGGCAGCATTCGACATAAGTAGAATCGTTCCACTGGAAGTCAAGAAGATGCTGGTTATCCTCAGCAACAGGGACTATTTGGAAGGCGTCCTTAATATCCCTCTTGATGATTGTGCAACCTGGGCCAGCTTGTGTGACCTGCTCGTAGATATCATCGATCGTTATGTATTCAATAGCTGACCAGGAGTCCGGTATGCCCTGGTTAAGGCCTTGTCCAGGGGGCCAGGATAGATCATGGATGCGGCGCCATCCCCCATCGTGCTTGGGGCTAACTCCAGCGGCGAAACGAAGGAGGGCCTACATGCCAATCTGCGAGTTTGACCGATATCATCTCGAGTTCGTGTATGTGATGGTTGGAGGAGTGATAAGACTGCTTCTTGCCGCTATAGCCGATCTGGACGCCGTAGGTCAGAACCCCAGTGATAGTGGACCCGAGATCGCCTGGACAGTGACGTAGGAGGTTGCTCCAGCCTTTTGCATACACTGGTGACGGAGAGAACTGTAGCTTTAGGAGCTCCGGGTAGAAGACGGGGTATTGGATAGCAGTATTGGGCCCGGGCGGTTGGCCTTGCGGTATGAAGCTTGGTGGTAAGGGTTTGAAGCTCCCATCGGCCTCTGCAATGTGTTCCCTAACGGTAGGGTCCACTTGCTATGTCTTCTTACGACAAAAGGATGCGCCATGCTGTCTTAGACCGCATGCTGTGCACTCGTGACGTCTCTTGCAGCCTTCCCAGAGACATTCTGTGGTGTTGAACATATCGCACACCTCGGTTTCATTATTATAAGACCTGGTAGACCTTGTTTGACGAGGTCGGGCTGAAGGGTTTGCCGGTGACTTCGCAGGCAGGGTAAGATTGTGACGATATATTTTTCGAGAATTGGGCCTGTGACGAGGTTGTTGTCCGTCGATAGCTCTCCTTTACCCAGAATGTATTGGTGGAAGTTAGAGCGAGGGGCAGTACTGCTTCTGACCACTAATAAGTTTGAGCGAGGTCGAGTATCTGCCTCATGAACAAAAGTAGGTTGGGAACTGCTTTTGGATGTTTCTCGCCGAAGAGATATCCTATGACGGCTACGTATGTAAGAAAGCAGCTCGTCCATGTTTGAAGGCTGGGGCCCCAGTCCTTAAGTGTTGCCGCTGCCTTCCTGAAGCCTACTGTGCCTCCCGACTCGGTCATTTTGAAGACCCTATCCTCCTGATCTTTTTGCTCGGTGACTGACTTCTCTTTGAAGCGTATGACTTCAGCCGCTTTCGACTTCCTCTCGAAGACGCGAGTAAGAAGGGCGGCGGAGACACCCGGAAATATGTCGATGAGTGGTTTGACTTCAGGGGGTGGCTCACGGTTTTCCTCAAGATTCTCGTCACCTTGCAGGTCCACACGAGGCCTTCTGTGGCGAAGGTCTGTCTCCGCTACATCCATTTCAAGGCGCCTGGCCCTGTCTCTCGATATCTGTCCCAGCCAACTAGCACGGTCAGCCGCGCCCATGGTTTCCCAAATGTGGGCCGGGGGCCAAGCGGAGTCAAGTTGGGCAGGCGTGACACTGCTGGACTGGCTTAACGTCATGGTGGAGAGTGATATAGTCAAGGCTTGTCGGTGTTATTGCCGCAGAGAAAGGACGTGAAACAAAACGAGTCTTGACTGCGTGGGAGATGACGACCTACCAGCAGAGGCGAGCAACTGACTCCCGTGAGGCAATTGCAGGAGGAAGAAACCCCTCCGTAGGCCTGTAGGCTCTGTGCGGGCATCACGTGAGGCAATCCCAATAAAACTCCTCCCTATCAAAAACACCTCCCACGCGGAAGGCGATGACGGCTTACATGACCGGTCGCAAACGTCATCGTGAATTTCTGAGCTTTTCACCTACAGAGCTCATCCCCACACATCGTCCGCCGTCACCACCCTCTGCTCTTTAGGCGTTACTTTGGTATTTCCACATTTCCCAAGCCTCCACCCTATGACGCGCTGGGGCTTCTTCTCTTTCCACAATGGCGAACTTCACGCAGCTCCAGATTTTCGGCACCACCTTCGAGATCACTAGTCGGTTCACTTTGCCCTGTTCTCTTGCTTGAAAACCATTCGCTGACATTTGGATTTTAGGTATTTGAACTTGCAACCGGTAGGGATAGGTGCCTTCGGGCTGGTCTGGTATGTTCACCACTATGCTATCGCGCATTGCGATAGTTTCAGGGGCTGACTGGACCCGTCCTACACAGCTCGGCGCGAGACCAATTGACCGGACAACCGGTCGCAGTCAAAAAGATCATGAAACCATTCAGCTCCTCCGTCCTGTCCAAGCGCACCTTTCGAGAGCTTAAGCTGCTCAAGCATCTCCGACATGAAAATGTGAGTGTCTCCCGCCTCCTCTCCTCGGCTGCCGCGCCTGATTGAATGTCATCCCTTCAGGTCATCAGCCTAAGCGATGTTTTTATTTCGCCCCTCGAAGATATGTAAATTTTTCTCCCATTCACTGAGGTTGAGACGCGCAGCATGCTAATGGTCACAGCTACTTTGTGACCGAGCTCCTGGGAACCGATCTCCACCGTCTCTTGACTTCCCGATCTCTCCAGGCCCAATTCATTCAGTACTTTGTTTACCAGATTTTCGTACGGCTCCTACTAGATACCACACCGCATGGCAACTGACGATATTTAGAGAGGGTTGAAATATGTCCACTCCGCCGGCGTGGTCCACCGGGACCTGAAGCCCAGCAACATACTCATCAACGAAAACTGCGACCTAAAAATATGCGATTTCGGACTGGCACGGACTGAGGACCCGCAGATGACCGGCTATGTCTCAACACGATATTACCGGGCTCCCGAGATCATGCTCAACTGGCAGAAGTATGACGTGGAGGTAGATATATGGAGTGCAGGATGCGTATTTGCCGAAATGTTCGAAGGGAAGCCGTTGTTTCCCGGAACGGACCATGTTAACCAATTTTCAATCATCACCGACCTATTGGGAACTCCTCCAGATGACGTGATCCAAACCATCGGCAGTGAGAGCGTGAGCTTTTTGGTTCCCCACTTATTTTCACCGTGATGAGAAATATGAGTTTACTGATCCCTCTCGCGTACAGACCTTGCGATTTGTCAAGTCCTTGCCGAAGCGCAAGCGTCACCCTCTAGCAGATAAGTTCCGGAATGCTGATGCTGATGGTATATGACTCCCCGGCTGTCCTTCCCTACCATATCACTAGCATGCTGACTATTCGAAGCTGTGGATTTGCTTGAGCGGATATTTGTATTCAACCCAACGGAGCGGATTCAAGCCGCGGAAGTGCTGGCACACAAGTACTTGGCGCCATACCATGATCCGATGGACGAGCCGGTCGCCCAGGAGAAGTTTGACTGGTCATTTACCAATCTTGATGTACCCGTGGACACCTGGAAGATTATGATGTAAGTGCTTGGGATATTTTCGCTTGATTTTATAGCTTATCATGTCAACAGGTATTCGGAATCCATCGACTTCCACAACATCGACCAGGGTAACGTGGCTCCGGTCAATTGAAAACCACGTCTTTGATGTATACAAAAGTGTTCAATGTGATAGTCAGCCGGTGCTGCTCAGAGAAGCTTAGCGATTGTGGATGGCGTAATCACATTATCGTTGATCATGGTTTGGCGTTGTCTTTGTTCCTTTCTTTAGCCTGTGCTGCTAAGAATATAGCTGTACTTCCGTCATTATGGGTAAAATTCCAGGTTGAAACTATCAGGTCGAGTAGTGATTTGACAACTGCTTCATGACCATTCCACGCAGCACGTAATACCTGTGAGTGGACCTTTCATGGTCTCTCCGAAGAAATGCGCTGGTTTCCAGTTTCGAGAACATTTCTGTAGGCAGTAATCTCCGTCTATAATGATTAAGGTTGTTAGCCGGAAGTCGAAATTACGCACTAAATCCACATACTCCACCCTCAAGTCTGCAGAGTGAAACAATTTTTAGTAGCTGCAATTACGTGTATGTCAGGTTATAGCCACCTCATGTTGAAGGGAATTAATTCATCAGTCTTTTGTAACCCCAATGGGGGAGGCAAGAGCCATGCCAATGAAAACAACAATTGTCACAACCGAGATACGCATTTTTATTGGGTGTTCGTGTTGGAAGCCTTGGTGGGATCTTGAATACTTTCTTGAAGGCCGTGAATAAAGTGCTACTCATTTATATTTCAGACCCCGTCTCGATGCCTGGATGATCGCTTCTCAACTTATCGCACTTGTCATAGAAAGCCGGTTGTGCCAGTCAAGTATTCCGCACCCACGGCTGGTGCAGGCCGCACAGGAGGATGAGTCTGGGTGGTTTTCTTGGGGACACCAATGCTACTTTCAGTGAATCTGTCCGAACAGTGGTATACCATATGTCGGCCAGATTTCGCTGGGTTATGACTCGGGACGAGATGGTCTCTTTTTCTCGATTTTTAGCTGATATGACAATGTTAAACTGAGGGCTTGATGTTGCGGGGTCTTTGCCTGACCTTCTTCTTGTACACAGGCTCGGACTCACAATCTAGCCGTTCGCAAAAGTAAGACTCACCTGCCATGGAGCAAGTCAAGCCCACCAGCATTCATTGGGTCTTTTGCAGTTCCAGGACTGAAATCATGCGAGATGCTAACCGAAGACAGTAAGGATCACCCATTGGACGCCAATAATTTAGTCCACAAGGAAATTATTCTTTCGCGGCATTCGAATGCCGAGACATTCGGTGGCATAAATCTACTATGGCCTGGGCTTGAATTGGGTAGACACATCAGCACATGACTCATGCATAGAGTCAACTGAGAGAAGAGCCGAGGTAGACGATCTGGGCCTGACATTGGCTCATCATCTGACCCACCACTAGTTATGTGGAAATGATAGAAACCATGCGATCGCATCGCTTTCGTGGAGCTTGAGCAGACAAGACATTTGCTCGTCTCAACTTCTGCCCGAAAGGTGAGGATATGAGGGGCGCTGTTGTACGATCCAAGTCAGCGAGGGTTGAATTAGTTGGAATAATTGTGAGAAGTTACCTGCTTATAGAACTCGCAAAGTGTACACATGGAAAGAGAGGGTCAACTAGCTTCGAGATCTTATCATCTTACAGACGAAATTAGCTACGACTGTTTTTAACAATGCAGTCATCATTCATGTCATGTTGACGTGCTCTTGTACCCAGTTCGTCGCACTCTCCGGCTGTCGCTTCGAGGAAGCCGCACTGGGTGACCGGGTAACTTCTTAGCTACAAAGGCGCGTGATGCATCACCTGTGATAGGAAATGTACACGCGTAATGGGGTATGATCTCGCGATGCTGATGGCCGGGGAGAGTTTCAAACACTCAGTCGTTCGTGGTGTGAAGGCAGTGAGGTCGAGGACGAAAGACGCGATGGAGCACGCATCGGAGTGCCCCCTTGGGCCTTGGTCTTATCTCCGATTCGGACTCCAACAGGGATGTTTCACATTGGCATAAGAGCCAGTAATGGTATTGTTGATTTGAAGCACAAAAACTCTCACAGATAAATATATTGCGCAGCAGAGGACGCGGTTGTTGTGGTATGAAGCTGGTGCAGATCAGGTACCAAGCTGCACCGTCGGAATTAACTCCGAGGTGTCTATACGGACGACCAAGTTGATAGGAAATCGCTCATTCTTGTAAATATACGCTCATTTATATCTGTGAAATGGTAAGTTAATTCATACCTCTGAACAACAACAGCGATAAATCAATCATATTGCCAGGAAGGATAGACGTCTCAAGGTTCTATTTAGGGAGCCTCGCAATCGGATGTCTGCACCTGTTATTGGTCCTTTCTTCTTCGCCTCATATGTGCTCGGTGGTTTGAAGCGACGGGGCCTGGGATAGTGTGTAGGCCATGGCTTGTGCAGAGCGCTAACGGGAGTGCTGTAGCCTTAGGGTCACTCTAGCGCGATGTCAATGGCTCACTGTCATTAACTGGCTTGTAGACAGGCAAGGAAATCCATGACTCACATGTTCTAGTGGCCAAGTCTTAAGGACGAAGAGACGATAAAGAGCTGTGGCCCTTGCGCTCGTGTGTTGTGGTCAATTGTCCTCGCTTCTATTGAAATCGCATCGTCTTCAGAATCAGTGAGACAGGCCAGGCTAAGATTCACATACCTCGACGTGAACATTCGCGCTTTCCCTTGGAAAAACACAGAGGCTGCACAGTAGATCAACTCAGTTGGCTGCTGTAACGGTGGCATCTTCGCATAGACATCTTCAATCGGCTAGTGTGGACAGCGGTGCATCTGGTGGGAATTTCAGTTCTGGATCAAAGGTGTAGAACTTATCAAGTGACTCAAACACAAGCCTTCTCGGCTTTGCAGGGTCAGGTGAAAAAACTGAAGAGCAAATTGCCGGGGGTAGAGGACGTTGTTGAAAGACTTCTCGGCTCCTTCTGTTGCAAAATTGTTCTGCTTGCTAGAACGCGTTGAGGGACAACTCACTTAATTGAGGCCTGTTGAAACCCATTTTTTCTTTCTACCGCGATTATTTGCAGCGACATGCAGTGGCAATTTGTATGCGTTTAGTTCAGCGAGAGAGACAAGTTAGAGTGCTGTTGAGAAAAATGGATGCTGAGCTGGTCAAAAAACGTTGGCCGACTGTTGAATCCTTCACGGCCCTCCTGAAGTGATCATATTTCTTGTTCTGATACCTCATCTGTGAGCAACTCAATGTTGAATCATCGAAATACGGCTACAATTTATACCGAGAAGTCGTGGATTTCACCCCCCCTAGCTTCGCGTTAGTGTGGTGTTGGTTGTGTTGAGCTGGGGATCTGTCCGTTTGGATTGCGGAAAGCGAGGTCACGGTCGGTCAACCCGTTTAAGCTTGGCCCCCACGTTGTCAACTCTCAATTTTCGGACTTGATCATGAAGACACACCAATTTTTTTATTTTTTTATTTCCTTTTTGAACTTCTTTTCTTGATGATTATAATTTCTACAATGTTCCATGATCAAGTTGACTTCCAACGGCCCGCCGAAAACTAGAAGACTTCTGGCCAAGTCTGACAACATCAATAAACAGTCGTTGTGATTGTGAACTTCCACCACGTAGTCGCCTGCCTCGATGGAAATGATATTGCCCACACCCTTGACTCTCTCTTGCGGACAAAATGGAGATCGTGTCTAGCAACTGTCCGCATACCTGATAGAGATGCCCCGGGGCCGTTTCAATCCGGGGGCAGGAAGAGCAGATGCTCTCCTATACTCTCGCCAGATTTCAGGTCAAACCGTAGTAGTCGAAACTCTATCCAGTGCACTTCTGGGTGAACGATCGATTTTCCACATTGCGATAAAATATTATCAGGCACAATCTAGCGGGAACAGCCTTATAGGGAAGGGAGCCCTACTAAGCCGATTGTAGAAAGCACTTATGGCAATGACATACAAAAATGCAAGGTTTTGAAATGCAGAACACCAAGGACCAAATGAATGCCTTTTCGCATGCTATCATAGCTGTTCGTATTCCCAGCTCGCTAACGCTAGCAGTGGCAGCAATGAATGCGTGGGTTCGCCAACCATACCAGTAGCAGGGACTGCGATCGAATTGCGAGACTTGGGAGAGGGCGTAAAAATGTGAGCTGGAGCACGTAAAGGTAAGCAGTTCGGACTATGGATAACCAGGAGACAAACACGAGTGGAAAGCGAGCAGACCGAGGCGGCCCCGGACCCCGTGGAGCTGACCAATACCGCACCCAGCGCTGGACGAGTGACAACCAGAGAGATTTGGCAGATTATCGTATACCTGCAACGCACCATTGAGGAGCAAATCACGCTCATTCACGCCACCCGGACTGAACTGAGGGAAGTGAAAGACAACCAGAACGATGTTCAAAACCAGAATGAGAAGCTAGAGGGAGAGATTATAGCGCTACGGTTGCAGGTAGACGCGCTGAACGCACCATCCCCGACACGATCATGGGCGGCCGTTGCAGCCGCCACAGACAACCCGTAACCCCGAGAGACCTGGCGACAAACCGACAAAGACAAGAATTGCGTCCGAACCAGCACTCAAAGATCCGTCACTGAAGGACTGGGCGCAGAGTATAACGCAGACGCGTTCGGCCGCTACCTCCCTACCCCGGCTGCGAACACCCACCCACATCAGGACGGCACTTTTGAACACGCCGTCTACCCAGGACGCACAGGTGGCGGGAATTGGTACTACCAAGTCCGGCTATGTGATCTGGTTCAAAAACCAGGCGTCGGCTGATACGACCCGCAACAACTCTGAGTGGCTGGCTGAGCTGGGTAACGACACTAGACTAGTGAAGCCACGTTTCGGAGTAGCTGTTCACCATGTCCCAACCTTTGGGTTGGACCTTGAAAGCAGGAAGACTGAAGCCATTGGAAATATCATAAACGAGAACGACCTCACCGACTGTGGCTTTCGAGTCGAGGATATTGCCTGGCTGAAGAAAAGAGATAAAGAACTGGGAACGTTCGCCTCGATGGGCATCTGGTTTGATTCATTGGAGGTAGCTGAGTGGATGCTTGGCAGTGGCCTCTTG